TGCTGCACAGAATTCAGGTAAGGCAGTTTGAGCAAGTAAAGCAATTAAGTCACTTAGACATGCTTTCCTAAGCTAACAACAGGCTTAATAGTGCAAGTAATAAAAAACAGGAAATGAAACATACTAGTAATTACTTAAAGAAAATCGGATTTCCAACAATTAGCATAAGTACGCACTCGTCACCTCACGTACAAGGCATTTCAATTACCAAATATACCAAATCCTAAGGGGAAGGCCCCCCCACATGGTTAGACAAGCCACTTACCTCGATCTGGCTCAATAATCAACCCGAAACACGCTCTTGTCACGAGTACTCGACTCCAAATGGCCCAAATCTATTCAATTCAATTGAATAATGTAAATAACACTTCAAGTAACTGATTATACAAAGAAATTCTAAGCTAATACGTGAAATTAGGTAAAATAACCAAAATGCCCCTCGGCCCCACGTCTCGGAATCGGGTAAAATTTATATTTTCAGAATCCTCATTCTCTCACAAGTTCATGCATACCAAAATTATCCAAATCTAAGGTCAAATCCCCAATCAAAAGTCGAATTCTAGGTCTAAGAACTTTCTTCCAACTTTCCCCCAATTTTCATCTCCAATCCGAATTTAAATGATGAAACTAACTATAGATTGATGGAATATAACTAGAAAGGGTTAAAGAATTGTTACCCAATGATCTCCTCTTCAATTTCCTCCCAAAATCGCACTCTCCCGAGCTCCAAATCGAATTTCCAACTTTTGAAACTAAACCCTCGAAATTTCATATTTCTGCCCAGCTGTTTCCGCATCTGCATCCCTGGGACCGTTTCTGCGGTCCTGCTTATGCGAGGACTTGGTCGCATCTGCGACCTTTCACTTAAAGACCAGACTCCACACCTGCGATCACCGTTTCGCAGATGCGGTACCGCTTCTGTGGTATTTCTCCCGCATCTGCGGAACCTGAATATCCTCCCCAGCTCCGCTTCTGTGATGGCCCCGCCGCTTCTGCAGTCCCACACTCGCAGGTGCGGTTATGATAGCAGAACAGCTGAAGCTGCAACTCCAATTCCAAAAATCTTTCCGTCAACCATCCGAAATCATCCCGAGGCCCCCGGGACTTTTACCAAACCTACCAACATATTCCATAACTTCATTCAAACTTGTTCCAACCTTCAGAACGCTCAAAACAACATCAAAACACCTATTTTTCATCGGATTCAAGCCTAAGAATCCAAAAAAACTCTAAAAATACGCTTTCGATCAAAAAGTCTATCAAACCTCGTCCGAATGACCTGAAATTTTGCACACACGTTACATTCAACACTACGAAGCTACCACTACTAGAAAATGGGCCTACGACTATGGTTTTTTTGGCGACGGTTCACAAACCGTTGCCATAGATCGGATATAGTAACGGTTTTAACCGTTACAATAGCATTTGGGTGGTATAAGTACACTTTAACTATCAAACCGTTGCAATTGTAACAGAACCGTTGCCATAGAAGATTTTTCCGCAACGGATCTATAAACCGTTCCACTATACATATTTATGGGAATGGTTGGGGAGAAATATTTTTTAATTGGAATGGTTTTCATTCCCTCCTCATTTTACCGCCTGAAATTTTCTAAACCCGCAAAATCAACCCTTATTTTTTTTATATTTTTAATTAATTTTAATAATGTAAGTATAAAGTTAAATCCCTTTTCCCCTTTTCCCAGTAATTAAACCCGCCCACCTTCAGTATACTCTTCGATACATCCAAAGTCCAAAGATCAGTACTACTATTGGATACATCCAGCAAAACCAAATCTCTTTCTTTTAGCCTCTCAAAGATTCATTCCTCCAAAGTCTTCTCTTTCACTCCTAAAATCCAAATCTAGAAACCTATGATCTTTCTACTTCTAGTGTCTTTCAACTCCTTATAGATTCATTTCAAGGACAGTTGCTGACCTTCCCCAAATCCCCAAATTCCAAAATTAATTTAACAGTGAATTCTTCAATTTTAGGTTTAATGTGTCGTCTTCTGCTGGTGTTTTAAGTGATATTGGTATTGTTGATATTCCTTCGTCTTTGAATTGGAGAAAGAAAAGAGTTGTTACTACAGTCAAAAAGGCAATTGTGGTATGCAGTTTATTACCTTATCTTTTAGTTGTATCTTTATGGTAATTTCATTTATGTGGAAGATATATAACTTGTCATAGTAGAGTTTCAAATTTTTATAAAGTTTGGATCTTGATGATTTTTATCTCAACTGACAATGGAAACTTGCGATATTTTTTGCCTTTTATCTTGTCTGGGACCTACCCTTATTTGCTTTCGTTGTATTGTTTGTCATTTGAAGTTCACAACTAATGTACTTCATTGAAACCCAACCTTAACACTTACTTTAGGTGCAGTGTTTGACAGGAGCAATGCTATCATGAGTATATTAGGAATGATTATATTGTTTGTTCCTTCCTTTCAATTTTTGTCTCTATGTATGTGAAAACCATTTCCCCAAAGTGACTAGAAGATAACAGTAATAGCACATATTACTGTTATCAATTATTTATAACTTTGAATTCCTCTTTATTCAACATCAAAAAAGGCTTAGTTTATTCTCAGTTTCCATTGGTAAAAAACACAATTCCTATAGCAGTGTGTAAGAAAATCTAATAGAGGAGATTCAAGAAGCTTTTGCACATTTTAAAGTATCTTACCCCCCGCCATCTGACTTATTAGAAGCTGTGTGGACCCACCACCAAAGAATAAGCACGACATGGGAACTTGAACATACATAAGAGCTGTCAAAACCAAGTAAACTTCTTAGTTAGCAACAATTAGAGCCAAATGTGCTTACAAAAAGCAGAAATAAGACCACGGTATGTAGCTCACACTTCTTTGACAAAACTGATAACATTGGCCACCAGTTGTTGTATATAGCACAAGCATACAAGAAACAGTCAACCAGAAATATAAACCAAAGGCAAATATTAGTTGAATCACTTACACTTTATCCGAGAAGTGAACGCCAGTAATTGAACCATAAAGATGACGCAAATGAAGAAGTCAAGTGAGATATTACCATGCTTTAAGCTTTCTTGCTAATTGATTTGCCTTCTTAATGATTTGGCTACTCATTGAAAAAGTTAACTAAATTGAACAAAATTTGGAATAAAAAAAACATATGTCCAGTTGTAGTATGCATGTGTTATTTCTTTATAAAGAGTCAGCATCTCCCAGAGGAATTCACTTATTGACTCAAAAAGTAAAAGCTCAAGAAATGACATGTTTCAAGATTTGTGATGAATTATAAATAGTACTCTAGCCTTTAATACCACGTTACTGCATAACTAACACTTGTGTGCTAGATCAATAACTATAGCTTGTTAAATCTGATCAAGCACAGGGAGCTTGATTGTAATGTTTCCTAGGTCTATTTTCAGGTTTCTTCAGTAAAAATTCTGCATCACAGGGAGTACATGAACGATCTGATGATTCTACCACTCATGAAGTAGCTGAACAAATTGAGGAACAAGGCATATATATATAAATTGTAATCATAAACTTAACTAAAAATAGTGATTAATGATTATCTTTGTTTTGTACTATTGCGGGCCCCTCCTCGCCAAAAAGAAAAAAAGGTGGTACTCAAATGCCAAGTGTTCATGGTAGAAAGGAGCGTAAAATAATCTTTCTAAATGAGTATAATCAACCTGTTATTCCTACTAAAGAGGTTGTAAAAGAGTTGGGTAGCTTCCTCGGCACATTGGCAAGGAGTGAGACTTTTTACCCTCTTAATGTATTTAATTGGAGGAAACTAGACACAAAAGATGATATGTGGAAATATATCAAGGTATGAAATTCCCAATGTCCAATAAACATGGATGATATTTCTTATTTCTTACACTAACCCAATTGCACTAAATTTATAGGAAAAATATGACATTCCTGACGAGGCGAAACAATGGGTTTTTGAATCAGTTTGTAGTGCTTGGAGAAAGTATAAGAGTCAATTGAAGGCAACCCACTTCACAACCTATGAGAATGATGAGCTTCGAATGGAGGATAGGCCAATAGATGTTCCAGAATCTCACTTTAAGGATCTTCTTAAATATTGGAACTCCGATCCACACAAGGTAATTACATCCAGAATCTCTTGTCTTGTTTTAACATAATTATTTTTTGGTGCCTGAGTCAAAAGAATTATAAGTAAAATAGTACCAAACATTACAGTTTTGGTTGTGAAACTGTAATGTATATACTAAGCATAGGATATTGTTCTTCTTCAAGTTTTAATTTGTGTTCATCTTTGCATGTATCAGTGGCTCATTGCAGCCTGTTTGATAATTGTTCTTGCAAATTACTTGATTGAGTAAAATGTGGTGAATAGACGCTCTAATTGGTTATCGATTGGTCTTGTTTCTTTGGTCCATATTTCTATTTGGTTGCTGACTTCTGTTCATAGCTTAGAGATGAGTGGATTAGATCAATGTCTCAGTATTCTGCTAATTTCTTTATGAAGAGGTACAAGGGTGCTACCATAGCTAGTTCTTTTTCAGTTTGTGATGCTAATAAAAAGTGAGGATTATGCAATAATTGGCTTTTGATTAATATATAGTTAGCTCAGTAGTGAGGATTATGCTCGAACCCTTCATACAAGAATCCCTTAGCATCTAAGTCAGCAGTTTTAGATGGCACAAACCACATTTTCTCTGTTTTCTTCAAGTGTAAAAAACTAACAAAAGGAGCATAGGCAATATAACTTGAGACACATATAATATACCATATATCATATTTTAATGTATTAACACCTTTTTTCTATTAAGATTTCTAATATAGAGGTTATAGAACCAAGTTAGAAAATTTTATTAGTACTTGTTACTTCGTGATAATTTTAACATTGATCTCGATAGTCTATAAATTCAGTAAAATATTTTGTAACACAGATAGCTAGTCGTATAATATTAATAACGTCTTTTGCTTAGTGTTAGACACTGAATTCATGCTTCAGTCTTTACTGTTGCCATTTGAATCAGTCAATTCAAATATTAATGAAATAATTGAAGAAAGAAAAGGGCTCAGATTTTAGTATTAGATTTTGTTTGACATTAACATTGAAGATTGTCAATCAACATTCTGTTAATATAGGAGTATTTGTTACTTAAATTATCAACTTTGGAAATTCACCAACTAAAAAGCAATAACAGACAAACTCTTCAACTTTTTATATTTTGATATTATACTTTTATTTTGCTTTTTGATTCTAGAATAGGTACAACACACGATGTAGTTAGATTAGTAAACAATTCTGAAGAAAAAAAAAGGAGATTTTTTTTTGGTTTAATCAGACAGCAAATGTAGTTGATACAGCAAATGGAACAGAGATTACAACAGTAAATGATGAATAACTGATGCCAAAATGTCAATAACTGTCTTAATAATCCCTCTTGTCATGTAAAGAATGACCGAGTTTAAGTCAACAGTTTTAGATGGCTGCATTGTTTGACCTCTTAATCAAGCAAGCTTTAATACTATGAGTGTAGTCTTGGGTCTTGATGTAGGTAATAGGCATCACTGTTGGTTGCTATTGGTTGACTCGTTTATTTGCAGGAAATGTCCGAAACTAATACAGAGAATCGAAGTAAGTTGAAGTGTCCACACACTGCTGGCAGAACACCTTTGCTCTAATTCACGAGGTTTGATGTTTTATCTTTCTTATTTTTTTTAAACTATGAACTTGCTAACTTTATATGGAAAGATTCTTATACCTGTTTTCATGTAACTAGGAAAAAAAGAAGGAAGTCTCTAATACTTTAGATACTCTGTCAAGTAAGGACATCTTTGTGGCTACAAGAAAAAGAAAACTTGGCCGAGTATACAAAAGCTCATATGACAATACGATTAGTAAAATTGTACGAGATTTCTAATTTAAAGTTTGTCGTGATTATTATTTGTTTAATTATTGATTCAATTTTAGTTACTTAAAACTCTTTTCTCTCGTATTTGGTTTGTAGGCTAAAATGGAGAGAATACAATCAACTCAGGAAAGTGAAGATGGCAGTCATTCAGTTGATGCTTTTGCTTCAGTCATGGGACATGAACATCCAGGTCGCATGAGATTATATGGACGAAGACTTTGTTAAAAGGGCAAAAAGGGAATCTTGGATCTTCTTTAGATGCTGATGAGAGGATGCAGCAGAAAATAGAGGAAATGAAAGAGAGGATGCAACAAAGAATGCATGAAAAGTTGAACGAACAAAAGGATGCTATGGAACAAAATATTACAATGATCGTCATCGCACGACTTTAGCGTTTGAATCTAGATTTGCGACTTGATCCTGACATGTTAAGGCTTAGTGCACGTTCACCTGTGGATGCTTCCTCTGCACAACAAGCTGTTGTTCAACTAAACAGTCGACCATCTGCTGGTAGTAACAATCAAGGTCAGTACGTACCAAATGTTATACATCTTCTTCTATTTCTTCTTAGAGCTTTAGTTGGACTGGTATCACTTGTACATCTTTCATCTCTACTGTTAACCTCCAAAGTTTCAATCTTTCTGGTGAAATCTCACCTTCTATTTGTCAACTTCCCAATCTTTCAAACTTAAATCCATGAGTAGGCTTGAGAATCCCAAATTCAAAGAAAACTTGCAATAAAGCTATATTATCAGTATAAGGAAACAGAGAAGTTTTGAATAATTCAAACATTCATTTTGCGAGGAAAAAACTTTGTAACATATCAAAGTACGAAGATACATTTTAATTTCAATTGAGCACAAAAGTAATATATGTCCTAAGACTGTATATGTTTTCTGATGAAATGACCATAAATGAGATTCTTACAAGAAAAACAAACTACAACTAATTAACCCTCGAAAGCAAAATAGGCTATAATTTAAGATGTTCACGCATGCTGTTGATCAGATGCTTAGCTAGGCATGATGATGATCTGGTGATAAAAAAAAATTAAAAGAGATTGCAAGACATGAATTTGCAGCTTTAATTGCATAATGTAATTGGCAGTTTGAAGAAACAGTTGATGAGAAGGTAGTTGGCTTGCCCCTGGGATTAGCCTCTGCAGCTTCACCACTTTGTCTTGCTGCTGTTGAAGATCATCATTTAAAACACAGCTCATTCTTGATCTTCTCCTCCCCCTAATTCTCCTTGTATTCTTTGTTGATTTCATGAGTACCCTTTCTGCGCCTAGCCTTTTTCTGTAACCCATAATTTCAAACTTGATTTTGGTTCATGCAAACTCAAAGGAACAGCTAGTGTATATATAGACACAAAAGTATTAATGCAGAGTTGGCACAACATGTGTTTAAAAGTATTAAGCTGATTGTTATAATATCAACTTACCATTTACTTTGCCATCATAGCTTGATAGTTTGAAAGTCTTGGTCCTTGGTAATAATATCAAATTGTTATAATGTTGTGTATAGTTTGTTGAGATGAATAAGTTGGATTAATAAAAGAAGAACGAAAATAGTTAAATGCTTGAGTATTCTTAGACCGGTTCTCTTGAAGGGTAATAATTTTATTTATCTTTTTTTGTAGGTGGAGTAGATCAAGAAATGGACGATGAAGAACTAGACCTTACTTGAGATGAATTTTGAATTGTTATCGATGAATGTTCTAGGAATCTTTTGTTACCAATATTTTTTGAAATTTATTTACACTCTTGAAATGTACTAAACTTATGCACTCATGAGGTAGAACATTTGCTTTATGGATATTATTTGCTTGATGGATAATTTTGTATTATTAATAGTTTCATTCTATGATGTATTTAAATTTTAGTTTATTATATGTATAAATATTTATTTATAACAGGTGCTATATTTTGGTTTTAATTGAATTGATATAATAGCCTACCAGAACCGTTGCAATAGGACACAAATGGCGTTCCAGTAGGCAATGTAAACCGTTGTCATAGGTCCCATAAACTGTTCCAAAATGATCTACAAATCGTTCCAAACACAAATGTAACCGTTACGATAGCTTAAAGAAACCATTGTTATATCCAACATAACCGTAGCAATAGCTTACATAAGTGTTTCTTTAAATAATATGGCAACAGTTAAAAACTGTTGTATAAACAATATAGTAACGGTTTAAAACCGTAACAATTGGAAAAAATAACTATTCCAACAGAGAAAGAAAAAACCGTTGCGATCGGTGTATCTATTGTCACGGCGATGCAAACCGTTGCAGGAACCGTTCCAATAGACCTATGGGTACGCCGACTGATGTGACGGTCTGTAAACCGTTCCAAAATCCCTACGGCAACGGTTTGGCAGTCTGTGGGGACGGTTTTTCAACTGTTACCATAGACCAATTTTCAGTAGTGTACTCCAACTTCCGGAATTCCATTCCGACCCTCGGATCAAAATCTCACTATCGAACCGGAAACTTCAAAATTCGACCTTTCGGCATTTCAAGCCTAATTTAGCTACGGACCTCCAAAACACAATCCGAACACGTCCCTAAGCCCCAAATCACCCAAGGGAGCTAACAGAACTATCAGATTTCCATTCCGAGGCCTTCTTCATGTTGTTCCGACTACGGTCAACTTTCCAACACTTAAGCTCTCATTTAGGGACTAAATGTCCCCAAACTCTCCGAAACTCAAAACCGAACATTTCGGCAAATCAAAATAGCAGAAATAAACTCGGGGATAGCAGTTAATAGGGGATCGGGGCGTTAATTCTTAAGACGCCCGTCCAGATCGTCACAGATGTTGTGTTATTTCTTTGACTAGAGAGTCGGGATAGATCTGGTCCTAAGTGAGTTATGTGGTAAAGTGTGTGTGAGATTTTGTTGATAGTCTGTGCATGCCAGTTGATGTCTAGAACTTGCCATGTGTATTTGCAAAGTGAAATAGTAGTCTTGTTCAGTCTACGAAGTGATATAGACATTTCTTTGTTGAGCCAATTATATGTTTATGACCTGCCTAATTGTTGTGTATCCTAGTTAGCCTCTTTGAGCCTCTAATTCTACTTCTTTGGCAACCACACTGCAAGCCTGATCCATTTTGTTTGAATTGACTATCTGTTTGAACTTTTTACCTCTCTTGAGCACTTGAATTTGTTATGAGCTTGTAAAAGCTAAGTTGAGGTATGGTCACGTTTTTGAATAGAACTATTAAAAAAAGAGAAAGGTTCATTGTTTGAAAAAATTGTGAGAGCCACTTGTAGCGAATTGAAAGGAAAAAAATGATTAAAGAAAAAAAAACCAGAACTTAGAAAAGAAAAAAAATAGATTACTTGCTAGTGGTAGTTCTCATCTTGTTTGTGCTTAAAGATATTGGGAGCTTGATACGATTATGTGTGAAGGTTAGGGTTTGGTTCAACATAGGTGTGGGGTTAAATTGTTAATGTATATGTATTAAAGTGTTTAGGGAGGTGTAGTCACTATATCCAAATGTATCATACCCTTCACGCAACCTACATACAATCAATTAAAGTCCTACTTGATCTTTAAATAAATGAGCTCAATTAATAGAGTATTACACTACGGGCAAGCCTATGGTATGTTTTATGTGGCGCATGAATTTTATTTCTGAGAGTGAGTGAATTCCTCATATCTTGAGTTCCTAATTGTTCTTGGGACTTTATTGTGTGTGGAACTACTCTGTATTGATTGTGTGAGGGTGCATGACTTGTAAAGGAAAGGTAATGTCTTTGGCCTCTGTGTTAGAATAAGTGAGCTGGGTTTTGAATAAAATATGTGGCGCTTGTGAGTCGAGTCTTGAGGCTAAGATGTTACGGTAGGGTGCTTAGTCTGTTTTGAATATTCTTGGCATAATGAGTTAGGGAAGTTGCTTGAAAAAAGTTGTCTTTATGTGAAGTGTAGTTTGATTGCTCGGGGACGAGCAATGGTTTAGGTGTGGGGTGTTGATGGTAGGCTAGGAACTCACGTTTTTAACTATATTTTGCACTCTAGTTACTACACTTTGATTGTATTTGAGCCTAATTGCTAATACTTTATACTTATTACGTGTGTTATGTTGTATAGGATGTTATTTCGAGTGGAGAGACAAGTCTGGAGCTAAAATGGATGATTTGGAGCTTTGAAGTCTAAGTAGAAGCCCAAAATATTAAGTCAGGATCACGTTCGGGGGTCGAGGACCAAGTCTGGAAGTCAAAGAATGAGAAAACAAATTACTTTAGAAAAAATGCACTACTGCGCCGCGAGGCGCGGGGTGCTAGTGCAAAATTCTTGCAGAGTGTAAAAATCAACTCTCTGAACTTCTCCATAGGCGCACCGCGCATGTGCACATTTTACAGAGAATTTCTATCACGACCCGAAATTCCCACCATCGGTACCGTGATGGCGCCTAACATTTCACTTGCTAGGCAAGCCAACGTTAGAGATCATTAAGCCAATTCTTAAACCTTTCAGTGATTAACAACAATTAAACCATAACAAATTTAAAAAAAAGAGTGCGGAAATCCATAACAACCTCAATATATAATACTACCCAAAATCTGGAGTCATAATTCACGAACTTCTACGATTTAACTACAAGTAAATGTCTGAAGGAAATACAATTATTTTCGACACAAAGAAACAATAAACTGAATGTATAGAAGGGGACGTCAGGGCTTGCGAACGCCGATATATCTACCTTGGGTCTCTGATCAGATGAAGCCAACAACTAAACTCAGGATCAACTCGGACCAGTACCGAAATCTGCACAGAAGTACAGAGTGCAGTATCAGTACAACCGACCCCATGTACTGGTAAGTGTCGAGCCTAACCTCGGCGAAGTAGTGACGAGGCTAAGACAAGACACCCACAAAACAAACCTGTGCAGTATAACTATATATATATATATATATACCAATAACATCAATAAAAGAACCAAGACAAGTAATATTGGGAGGGGGACATGCTGATGGGATCACAACAGAAAGAATCAAAGCAGTGATAAGAACCGCGGTAAAGGAAACTGCATGGCATCACCCTTCGTGCTTTTACTATTAACCTCACCATATAAAACAATATAAATGACACGGTATTACCCTTGGTGCATTAACTCTCTGATATCATGGCACGACATCACCCTTTGTGCATTAACGCTCACAATATGGCACGACATTATTCTTCGTGCATTATCACTCACAAAACATGGCACGACATCATCTTTCGTGCATTAACACTCACAAAATATGGCACAACATCACCCTTCATGCATTAACACTCTCCCTCACCAAAACAATGAACAATAATATTAGGGAGATAGAAATGACAATAACAAGTCTCACTTCAACATTTGGTGCCACAATACCAACCTCAACTTTGAATCAATACTCATTCAATACCAAGGTCCGTAAACATGATAAGAACGCTTAACATAACGAGTAGCTAATCTAAGCATGGACAATATGATCAAAGAAAGCGACAATTACAAGAATAAGACTCACTCACGTGCTATAACTCGACAACAACGTATAGGTACTCGTCACCTCACCTATATGTTGTACCTAATATTCAAACACATAGAAAATAAGTAAATAATACCTAATCCCTCAAGCCAAGGTTAACTACGACACTTACCTCACTCCAATGGCCAAACTCAAAGCTCAACCACAACTTTTCCCTTCAAACAAGCCTCCGGACCAATAGAATCTAGCAAATTTCCAACCAAATGATTCAATTTAAGCCTTAAGAACTACCCACGATTGCAAAGGATTCTATTTATGCCATTATTGAAAAAGTCAACACCCGAACCCGCTTGGTCCAAACTCGAAATTCGGACCAAAACCCGATTATCCATTCATCCCCGAGCCCAGATATATAATTAGTTTTGGAATCCGACCTCAATTTGAGGTCTAAATCCCCAATTTTCGAAATTCCTAGTTTCTACCAAAAAATCCCCAATTCCACCATGAAAACCTTAGATTCTAGGATGAAATCTTGTAAAATATAGTGAAAGATTGAAAGAAACTAGTTTAGAATCACTTACCTATGATTTGGGGAAGAGAAGTTCTTTGGAAAATCGCCTCTTGTGTTTTAGGTTTTGAAAATTTGAAGAATGGGAGAAAAATCCCATCTAAGTCCCTTTTACACAACTGCAGATGTCGCAAATGTGACCTGGGCTTCACAAATGTGAAGCCCGCAAATGCTTGAAAAGTATCGCAAATGCGAACCTGTCGCATTTCTACTGCCTTCACAAATGTGAACATTTTGTTCACAAATGCGATGCTGGAGGATCGCAAATGCGACATCCTTCTTCGCAAATGCGAATTCCCTTCCCCCAGACCAACTTCACAAATACGGGGTTTTCTTCGCAAATGCGAGATCTGCAAGTCTGATGCACACCGGCTACGATTTCTAAGTTTATTTCACTCCGTAGCCTATCCGAAACTCATCCGATCCCTCGGGGCTCCAAACCAAATATGCACACAAGTATTAAAACATCATACAAACTTGCTAGTGTGATCAAATCGCCAAAATAACACATAGAACTACGAATTTAGCACCAAATCGAATGAAATTTTCAAGAAAACTTTGAAACTTCTAATTTCTCAACCGGACGTCCGACTCACATCAAACCAATTCTGTTTCTCACCTAATTTTACAAACAAGTCATATATATTGTATTGGACCTGTACCGAGCTCCGCAACCAAAATACAGAACCGGTATCAACAAGGCCAAACATCAATCAATTCTTAAAAACCATTAGAGTTTCAAACTTTTAATTTTCAATAAAATTCATAACTCAAACTAGGGACCTCCGAATTCGATTCCGAGCATA